GCGGTGGACCTGGAAATGGCCCAATACCTTCTTGGGCCTTCAGCCGTAGTCCTCCCCGGAAGGCCGGCAAATTTACGACCCCCCGAGGGTTGTGTCGGCATTCACCTGCACTCGGTTGCCTTTGGCTTCTGAGTTCCTCCGTGTCCTTTCCTTTCCCTTTTTTATCGTCATTACAACTTAGTTCCGGGCAAATTAGTGCCTAATTCTCACCGACTCCTTACCTGCTTCGTCAACCTCTGCCACTGGTGGTTGTGCGAGCCGGATCTAGACCTGTTCCGGTATCTTTTCACCGTGAACAAGGTCGGCTCGCACTCGCCGGGCTTTGTTCAAGTTGCCGCTCGCCGGGGCGACAGCTTTTCGAGGGGTTGTCCGATTCCATTAAGGACTGGAAGCTCCTCTACTTCTTCGTCCGCCCTGCTTTCTCTCCTTCACCTTTCCGACCTTGTGGTCGGCCGCTCTATTCAAGCCTTGCTCTCAGCGTGCCGTCCCTTCCGATGATGCGGTCCTGGGCGGCGAGTTCTTGAAGGGCTTTGGGCTGTACTCCGTCAAGTACTGGTCCCGAGTCCGGGCCATGGCTAAGCGTGGCTTGCTGCCGGAGGGTGCGGCCACCGTAGGTAGTCTTCGTTGCCTCTCGTTCCTCTTCTTTTTATTCTGTCACATTCCGATTCGGAATACTTATGATTTTCCCTCCTTTCGCAGGTCCGTACGACTCCGACTCCTCCAGTTCCGACGAGGCCGCTGAACCGACCCCTGAGATGACGGACAGAGCCGAAAAGATGAGGCGTCAGTAGTCCAGCGCACTTCCGGCACTGCTGCTGCCTCTTCCTCCCAACCGTCACCGGCCCCAAGGTCGACTCCCCCACCACCTCGTCATGTGGTGGATTTGACTCCGTCGCCAGTTGTGTCGCCCACTCGACAGCCGCCTCCTCCTCAGACAGGGAGTCCAAGCTCTAAGCGTTCGGTCGGTCAAACTGATGAGCCGACTCCGAAAAGGATCCGGCTGTGCCATGAGGTAGAAGAGGATGCCCAGATCTGGATGGGCGCCTCCTCCGTCCGCAAGTGGTGTGCTAACGTCCTCCTGGCTAAGGACCTGGCGGCGACTCATGCTCTGGGGATGAGTACATCATCGAGGCCTCGCTGCGCCAGTCGTACCGCGTAAGTGTTCCCGCCTTAATTCCTTTCATTCGTTCTTTCCTTTTATTATCTGACTCGTGGCCGTTTCGCAGAACCTCACCTTCCAGATGGAGATGAGCAAGCGGCTGCAGAACTACAGGACCGAGGTGCGGTCTATGGCCCTCAATTTACGCCAGACGGAGGAGGCCTTTCTGAAGAGCAAGCGAAGCACCTCAAGGTGGTGGAAGTGCATAACTCCGAGATGCTGAGGGTCACCCGTCAGTGGGAGGAGGAGCGGGACAAGGTGGCGACGATCGCTGCGACCTCCGTTGAGGCTTACAAGAAGTCGGCCGTCTTCGAGGCGGATGTGAAGGCGGCGATAGAGGCTCGCCAAAAGGAAATTGCCAAGGAGTGGCTGTCGACACCGGATGGTGATGAGTTCCTCCTGGACTTGGGCGAGCGTGACTATCGCCTTGGCTTTCGCTAGGCGCAGACAGAAATCCACTCTGCCTTACTGGTTCGCGACTCCTCTTTCACTCCGAGGGCTGGGCCTCAAGCCCATGATAAACGCTCTTCCCGCGACTGAAGGACCATCGACGACTGTTGACCCGGCAGCTCTTCCGGCGGCTGCTGATCCGGCGATTCTTCCTACAGCAACACCTCCTGAGCTCGCCGAGCCCTCTCTTCAGGCTGAGGACCCATCTTCTGTTCCCCTGGCTGGACCAACGGCTGGGGCTCAAGTTGAAGGGATTGATGTCGACACCCCCTCCCCAGTAGTTTAGGACTATTCTTTTAGGATAGTCCCTTTTGTAAAGGCTGGCCTCCTTCTCGGCCTTTTTAAATTTTAATAAAATTCCCCTTTTCTCTTCCTTTTCGTATTATCTTGGGCTCGACGCTTTTTCTTTAACCTTGTTTCTTTAGCCGCTCGCCGAGTCCCTTAGTCGAGGCGACTCCTTAGGCTTTTTCTTTCTCAGAAACGTTTAGGGTATGCCCCGTTTCTTTAAATACTCGCCGAGTCCTTCAGTCGAGGCGACTCCTCTTGGCTTTTCACGGAAACGACTAAGGGTCTGGCCCTTGTTTCCTAACTCTTTCTCGCCGAGTCCTCAGTCGAGGCGACTCCTTAGGCTTTTTCTTTCTCAGAAACGTTTAGGGTCAGTGCCCCGTTGTTTCTTTAAATACTCGCCGAGTCCCTCAGTCGAGGCGACTCCTCTTGGCTTTTTCACGGAAACGACTAAGGGTCTGGGCCCTTGTTTCCTAACTCTTTCAGGCCGAGTCCCTCAGTCGAGGCGACTCCTTAGGCTTTTTCTTTCTCAGAAACGTTTAGGGTCAGTGCCCGTTGTTTCTTTAAATACTCGCTGAGTCCCTCAGTCGAGGCAACTCCTCTTGGCTTTTTCACGGAAACGACTAAGGGTCTGGGCCCTTGTTTCCTAACTCTTTCTCGCCGAGTCCGGGAGTGATTAACTGTAACTTGTACTTTTATTCGAGTCTCTCAGGACCCCTGGGCCCATACATGTTTTGTGCTTTTCTACTGATAGAACTTCTTTAGGTGGATGACGTTCCAAATCCGATCCACGGACTTGCCCTCCATGTTTCCAATTTGTAGGTTCAGCTTGGACAACCGCGGGAATACGGTATGGTCCCTCCCACTTAATCGCAAGCTTGCCCCCCTCTGTGGGCTGACTGGCCTGTCGATCCCGTAGTACGAGGTCGCCGACCTGGAAGGCTCGCGGACGAATCCTCCGATCGCGATATCTTTTTACCGCCTGTTGGTATTCAGCCATTCGCGCACTCGCGGCTTCCCTCTTTTCTTCTAAGAAATTTTTCTCGATTCGAAGACTCTCTTCGTTCTCCGTGTCTGAATAGGTACGAACCCCGTGAGTGGCCTCAACCACCTCAATTGGAACCTTTGCCTCGAAGCCGCGAGTGAGAATGGACTCTCTCTCCCGTTGCTTGTCGCTGGGTAGTGCGATAAGCCCATAGGACTCGGTCAAGCTCATCCCCCCAATTTCCTCGAATATCTTCCAATTTCTTCCAAATCCCATCCACCAGCGTTCGGTTCACGTTCTCGACTTGTCCGTTGGCCTGTGGGTATGCCATCGACACCTTAGTGTGGCGGATATCGTGTCGGCGGCAGAAGTCGGCGAATGCCTGACAATCGAACTGTCGCCCGTTGTCGCTGACAATGTGCTCGGGCAGGCAGAAGCGCAAATCACCCTTCTCCACAAAAACATCGGCATTGGTACTCGGTTATGGTAGCCAGTGGTTCCGCCTCGACCCACTTGGTGAAGTAGTCGATAGCTATGACACAGAACTTCAAGCCTCCGGGGCGACTGGTAATGGCCCCAGCAAATCGATCCCCCACTTGGCAAATGAGATGGCGGTGGTGACCGGCGTGTAAAAGGTAGCTGGCCGAGTGTCTTTCTTGGCGAATGCCTGGCAAACGCCGCACTTGGATATCCATTCAATACAGTCCCGCATCATGGTTGGCCAATAATATCCTTGGACGACTAACTTTCGAGCAAGCGTGTGGGCGCCTTGGTGCGCGGCACAAATGCCTCTATGGGCTTCGGCCATTATTTTCTCGGCCTCAGGCCTTAGCAAACATTTTAACAAAGGTCCCCGAATGATTGTTTATATAGTTGCCCATCAATGATTTGGAAAGAGGGGCCTTTCGTCGAACCCTTGCGGTGACTCCCGGGTCTACCGGTAACTCGCCTTTTTCTATGAATCGCGGATGTCCTCTATCCAGAACATCTCGGGGTTTTTCTCTCGTCCCATTCCTCGCCAGTCACTTGTTGGATCCTTAACGTTGTTTCTTCAACGCTTTCGACTTAGCTCCTCCTTTTGACAGATTTTTGCCAAGTGGTCCGGTACTCCCTCCAAGGCAATCTTGGATAATATGTCAGCTTCTATGTTATTCGTTTGGATATATACTCTATTTTGTAGGCTCCGAACTCTTTTAACATCTCGACTGCGCGCCTCTATATAGAGTCATCCAGGCATTCTTGGCCTCGCATGTGCCTGAGATCTGCCCGACTACTAACCTAGAGTCCAGTCTTGACTCGTAACCTCTCGACCCCTAGGGCCCTGGGAGTCGGAGGCCATTTAACACAGCTTCGTACTCGGCCTCGTTGTTGGAGGCTTGGAACAGGTAGCTCAGGGCATAATACAGTCGGAATCCTTCGGGAGTGATAAGCACAACACCACCTCCACAGTGCTGTCGACTTGATGCTCCATCTGCATGCATTTCCCACCATTCGCCTACGCAATTCTCCGTGGCGTGTTCCTTCTCTTCCTCGCTCGCCGTGCATTCGACCAAGAAGTCGGCCAAGGCTTGCCCTTTTATGGAAGGCCGGGGCTGGTACTCAATCCCATACTGGGTTTAGTTCTACAAGCCCATTTTACCAGGCGGCCGGACGACGATGGGTTTCGCAAAACGCTTCCGAGTGGTTGGTCCGTCAGTACTCGGACGGTGTGGGCTTGGAAGTAGGGTGCCAACTTGCGCACGGTGATCACCAACGCGTATACAATTTTTTTCCAAGGCGGTATACCTTGACTCGGCAGCCTTCAGGGACCGGCTCACGTAATAAACCCGGTGCTGGACTCGCTCTTCTTCTCGGACCAACACCGAACTCACCGCCTTGCAGGAGGCGGCTAAGTACAGAAATAAGGGCTCGCCCGCCTGGGGGTAGACAATACCGGGGGTGTCGAGAGGTAATGTTTCAATTCCTCAAACGACTGCTGGCACTCCGGGGTCCAAGCGAATCCTTCCTTCTTCTTCATGCTTCGAAGAAAGGCACGGTCTTATCCGCCGCTTGCTCAGGAAGCCGGCTAAGGGCGGCCAATCGGCCGGTCAGCCGTTGCAGGTCTTTTATAGTGCTGGGAGGCTGCATGTCGACGATGGCTGTACTTTCTGAGGGTTAGGCTCGATACCTCGCTTGGTGACCATGTAGCCCAGGAACTTTCCACCTTGCACGGCGAACGCACATTTCTTAGGGTTCAGCCGGAGGTTGTACCTTATCATCACTTTAAAACAGTCGGCCAAATCTTCCGCGTGTTTGCTCTCTCTCGGCTCTTGACGAGCATGTCATCGACGTACGCGGCCATCGATTTTCCCAGCAGGTGCTGAAATAATCGGGCCACCATTCGGGTATATGTGGCTCCGGCGTTCTTGAGCCCGAAGGGCATGACTCGGTAATAATAAACTCCGTCCGGTGTCAGAAACGCGGTCTTTTCTTCATCCGCCGAGTGCATGAATATCTGATGGTACCCCCTAAAGGCGTCCATAAAGCTCGACAGTGCCGACCCCGCTGTCTCGTCGACCAGTTGATCGATCCGAGGTAAGGGAAACGGGTCTTTTGGGCAGGCCTTATTAAGGTTGGTGTAGTCCACGCACATCCGCCACGCCGGGGGCTTGGGTACAAGGACCACATTCGCCAACCACTCCGGGTACTTAACCTCGCGGACGTGTCCAGCTGCTAGTAGCGTGCTCACTTCCTTCTTCACAAATTCTCTTCGGTCGTTGGCCAGATATCGCTTCTTCTGCGCAACCGGTCGATGCCCGGGATCCACGGCGAGTCTGTGCGATATGATCGATCGGTCGACGCCAGGCATGTCCTCCGGGCCCCAGGCGAAGACCATCCGGTGTTCCCAGAGCACCTTTATAATCTCTTCCTTTACTTTCTCGGGGAGGCCGACTCCAATTCGGACCCGTCGGTCCGGCTGTGTAGAGTCGATCTCGACTTCTTCCAACTCGACGGCAGGCTCCGGACGAGGTAGTATCGTCTTTTTTGGGGGCCTCTCGGTGATCTCATGGACCTGCATCTCGCGTTTGCCCATCCCTCTGCATGCCTGTAGATAGCAGTCGCGGGCGACTTTACGGTCACAGCGCACCGTACCTATTCCGTTTGGCGTGCGGAATTTTAAACAAAGATGCTCGATTGAAATCAGAGCTCCTAGATCCTCGAGACCCGGTCGGCCGAGTATAGCGTTATGCGAACAAGCCAGGTTCACCACAATGAACTTCAAGCTGAGTTTCTGTACATCTGGGTAACTGCCAATCTCCACGGGAACTGTGATTGATCCTTCCGCCTCCACCGAGTCCCCTGTGAAACCGGCGAGGGGAGTTTTGACAGGACTCAGCTGTTCTCGAGTCATTCCCATTTTGATGAAGGTTTCTAAGTATAGCACATTGACGCTGCTTCCGGTGTCTACCAGGATTCGTCGAACGACAACGCCATTGATGTCCATGGCTATAACCAACGCATCTCGATGCGGTATTTCTCCGGCTGGTAAATCTCTGTTGGTGAACACGATGGGCTCTCGGCACACCTTTTTAAGGTTCTCCTCGCGTCCATACACCGTCCTGACATACAACTGGCGGGCCCAGGCTTTTTGGTGTTCGCTGAATCACCACCTTCCGGCCCGCCGACTATCATGTTGATAACCGGCTTCTGGCGCCACTGAGCCTCCTCCTCTTCGGGAGCCGGCTGCTTGCCTCGACTGTTTTCAGCAACGGCGGCGGATCCTCCTCCCCTCGATTGACCGATCTCCGCCTCCACTATTAGGAGGCGGGGTTCCTTGCTGAATGATACCCTCCATGATCTTCTTCAGGTAGAAGCATTCCTCCGTGCTGTGGGTATAAGATTTATGATAACGACAGTACTTAGAGGTCTTACCAGTCTCTTCGTTCGTCGCGCGATCGTCGGTCGGCGGAGGCGGAGGCAGGGCAACCTCTTGTATCTCGTGGACCGGCCGTTCGGGAATCGGCCGATAGGCGTGGACGACGGGTCTGTCATACGGTCGTCTGACCTCAGGTCGTCGAGTTACGTCCGGGCGCCTTTCCTTGGTTTCAGCTTGCGTCCTCTTCCCGCTAGCGGATCCGCCGACTTCGCGCTGCCGCTTATGCTGCATAGCCTGCTCTGTGTTGCCCTCTTGTTGGCCATATGAATGGCTTCTGCGTAGGTGGCCGGGCGATTGTCCCTCAAGTCTCGGTATAGCTGGCCAGACCGCAAGGACTCGATGAAGAAGGTGAGCGCCGTCTGGTCCTCGACCTCCTCTATGGACTGGATTTCTTTCTGCCAGCGGGCCAAATAGGTTTTTAAGGACTCGCCTTCAACCTGATGAATGTCGCCCAAGTGTGTTAGGTCCTTTTGTGGTTTGATATTAGCGGCATAGTGGCTCATGAAGCGGTCCGCCAGCTCTTCAAAGCTGTGAATTGACCCCGAGGGCTGCGCCACTAGCCACCTTTGCGCTGATCCTTTCAACGTGGGTAAGAAAGTGCGGCACATGACCGGATCTCGTACCCCCAAAACCTGCATCTTAGCCTGATAGCTCAGCAAATGCTCTCGGGATCGCCGGTTCCATCGAACGTGGCCTGCTCCGGGAACTTGAAATCACCCGGTATCTTAAAGGCCATGACCTCGTCCGAGAAGGGTAAGGCGGTCAATAACGTACGTCCTGGGGATTTGGCTTACCCCTCCATCCGTTCTTTCAGATTTCGCACTTCTTGGACTAAGTTCGCCACTTCGACCCTCTCCCGGGTGCGATTTCCAATGGATTCCGTGCTCTCACCGACCTCTGACTCGGCAGGTTGGTCGTGGTTGCGGAGGGGTTGCTCCACGCGGCGAGTCTCAGTCCTCGCTCTTTTGGAACGGTTCTTCTCTCGTGCAGCTTGTCGATCGCGAGCGGCTAACGGGGCACGACTGGGTTCCTTCCGACCCAATCGTTCTCTTGCCGACCGACGCCCAACGCTGGGACCCAGCCGAGAATAAACGGACTGTACCGGTTGGCTTTCGGCCCGTCGATTCTGTTGCTGGTTGTCGGGCCTATGAGGCGGCCGTGAATCGCGTTGTGGCTGGCGAGTGACGGACTGTTCTCTCACTCCCAGGCTTGCTTCGGCGCAGGCACGCCCGATCACACGTAGCTGCTCTGGGGTGAGCAGCACTTGGGGCAACTGTTGGTTTATCGGTGGTGTCGGCGGCGTTGTTGTCTCATTTTCCCGGCTCCGGGTGTTTCTTCGATTCAGCTGGCTTCTCAGGTCCGCCTCCCGTCCATTGTCATGACGGCTCGATTGTTCCTCACTTCCTGCCATATCCGGAGCTTTTCTAATTCGACTGAGATTCTAATTGTCGTTCCTCGGACTCGCCTCACTCAAGAGGACACGTGACTCTTAGTTTCGATCCCCACAGACGGCGACAGTGATGGTTTTTGGGTTTTCGGGCCCAAGGAGGTCCAACACAACCTATGGCTGGAGGATACACCTTTCAATAAAAATGTATGCCTATCTCGGAAACAATGATAGTACTCGGAATCTCTCTGGTATTCTCCCTTCTCCGGGTATTCAATCGTCCGTCCTTCTACAAGAGAGGAGGAGCCTTTAAATAGCGGCTCCTCCTCTACCGACTTGAAGGCCCTTAATGGCCGACTTCAAGACTAATCAAGATATGGAGCCGTTAGACGACATTACTCGGTCAACCAACGGCTCTTCTAGGCTTGTAACAGCCTGACCGAGTCCTGCTTTCAATGCCCTAACGGCTCCCTTTTAAACGAGCCTCTTCAATGCTCTCAACGGCTCCTTGAACCGAGTCTTTCCCTGGGCTTGGGCCTTGGTCGACTCCTCGTCTCAGCCTAAGCTCCCACTGGGCTCCTCTTTAACAGTTCTGAACCGGGCCCCGTGCCTGGGCCTGGGCCGACTCCAGGACTCGGCCCAATTGCTCTTCGGGCTCCTCGGACACTAGCCCACTTCTCCTATCTCGAACCATTTCCTTTGGGCCTCTATCTCTTGGGCCGGGGTCCTTATCCCATCAATATATATATATATATATGATTGCATCATATCGTCTGGACTGTTGGAAATAGTCCATTCAAAGGACATCATTTTCGGACATAATTATGTGGCAAGCATGAATTGTGCTAAGTGTGTGGATGTGGCAGCTTTAATGTCTCTTAGTCCTGTACTATAAAAGTGGCAGCCCTCCTTTGTCTAAAACACACCAAGAAGAAACATATTCTTCTTCATTCTTCCTTCTTCGTCACTAATATATATTATATTATATAATATATATTATAATATATAATTCCGTGCTTGCATGTTCAAGTCTGAGCAATAGTGAGGTTCGCCTACGTGATTGCTAGTGCAAGCTATCCGTAGTAGGTCTGTGTAGCCTGTCGAAAGCGTGCCAGGGTTCTAACTGCACCGTTACCGGGCAAATAACGCTTTTAAGGTAGTGTTATTATAACACGGCACAGATTTCCTTTCAACCATACACCAATAGTGTCCGTGCTTCTCAAAAGGCTTCCAGATCGCGCGTTGACGTTGCAAATTTCCCCAACAGTTAAAAGCGTTATTTTGCAACAGTCAACCTTCAGCATTTTGGCACCTACTGTCATACCGGATCTATCAAAAATCAATGTGCTTGATGGGAAAAATTACAGTAGGTGGGCTAAAAGAATGCTGATTCTTTTCGAACAATTAAAGTTGGTTTACGTGCTATATTCAGTTGCACCTGAACCTACTCCAACAGTGTTCTCTCCGTTTGGTGCTACAAAATGTAACCATGAACCTGATTACACTCCGGGTGAAGAATCGAGAGAAAGCAGTCCTGAAATAGATTACATTCCGGGTCAAGAACCGGGTGTAACTCTGATTCAATTTAGAAATGACAATGCGGCAGCCAGAGGATACTTGCTGTCACAAATGAATGACGATTTGTTCGACATCTATGTCAAACAAGATTCGGCAAAAGTCATTTGGGAATCACTGTCAGAAAAGTACGGTGCCAATGGAACTGAAAATCAAAGTGTCAGAACTGTCTACAACAAAAGGAGTAGAAAAATCAAGAAGTTCAAAGGAAGGTGTTTCACATGCAAAAAGCAAGGACACCGAGCACACTAGTGCTACCATCAGAAGGGCAAAACTAGCAAAAGTCAATCTGACAGAGCAAGATGAGTTTTGAGTCTCTTTAAATAAATAGTTATTTTGAGTAACTATATTTGCTCTAGTTCTAAGGGTTCGCATGAAGTATGGTTATCTTAGTACTGAATTCTAGTTGAGCTGTCTAGATTTTGATTACTTAGTAGTACTTATTTCTTTAGTATTTTGAATACTAATGACATTGATTGAAATAATTCGTGCATAGATATTGCTCAAACTTTTTACTAAAATTATTTGTATAAAATTAAGAGCATATATCATAGGCTTCAATTGTAATTTAGTGAGAACATGGAAAAGTCATCATTCTTGAACACTCTGTCTAGGAAGATGGTTTTTAAGTAAACTTCGGTTTCACCACTCGACCTGGGAGTTTTAAGAAGTAGGGTGTTGATTATGCAGGCTAGTTAGAGCGCCACTTGATCTTTACCTGAAATGAGGTTGACTTTCATATGTTGCTAATACAATCAAAGCCTTGCAATAGAAGTTGTTGAAGTACTGCAATATTGATCTGCACCCTATGAATGCTTTATATGAGTTTTAAATTCCTTAAGGGAAGGAAAAAATTGTGCTAGTGGCAACTCTGAAGTCTCATTGTTGAGAGATATTCCGAATAAATATGAACTCGAACATATTCCTTGTGTATGAGATTAATTTCTTATAAGAATATGATGTGAAATTTGTGATTATATTGTTCAACTTCATGTAGCATGTGAACAACATTATTTCTATGGCTTACTAACAATGAGCATTTATATATATATATATATTATTTAAACTCTTGGTTGAGTCATATTGAAATACCTATAATTCCTAGTTAAAGGGTAATTGTGGTCAATTGAGATAACCAAGTTTGTTGAAATATATTCAACTGTTGAGCATGTATCAGGTAGAGTGCAAAGCTTCTATAATGCTCCACAAAGCAAATCGGCAAAACTCAGTCTACAAAGGAGCTAAAGTTAGGCACCAAAGATCAGTCTGAGTAAGAGATCAAATACGTTTGACAAAAATATTTGTAAGTGTTGCATTGTGGGGGTAATAAACTCCATATATTTTCATCAAAAGTTTCTCTGTGGTATTGAGAATAATGATGAAAGAGAATCTGTCATGTTAAACATGAAAATCTCAAGGGATTATTTACGAGTTAATAGGAACCAATACACATGGAATCCAGAAAGGGTAAATAGTGGGCTCATCACAAGGCCCATAAAGACGACCTTAAAACATCATTGGTGGAAAAAACAACAAAGACCAATAATAAGTCCATTCGATAGAGGAAAATGTTATAGTGGCCAATTTCAAGTGATATCATGGATCG